TTAATAACAGAAATAAGAACACATAATGTACATAAAAATCATATCATGATTAGTAGATGTCGATCTTTAATCGGGTGAGCGGGGATGCTTAATTCATGACTTTCCCCTCTCGTACCCAAGTTCTCGAGCTGAGACAACTTTGGTGATGACGGACATATGGCCTTTGACACGAGTCATGAGTTTCCTAAATTTCTCTAAAATAAAATATTTAGGTGGGACTCTGTATATGGCAAAACAGTTCACTTTTGGCACTTTTGATTTAAAATCAATTTTCCAAAGCGATTTGCCTGATTTGGACTCTTTGGTGTTTATTAGTTTCACATTGCACTTGTGAGATTAGATTCAGAACTACGGGAGTCCGAACTGTAGGACTTCTTTTCGAGCTTCTGAAAGGGGGTGCGAAAAAGCCGAGCTACAACATAAAGTGAATCTTAGGCTCCTATTTATATAAAATATTGAATTTTTTTAATTTTAAACAATTAAAGAAATTCTCATTGACTTTCATTTAATTTTTATTTTACAATCACACATTGAGAAAAAGAAGGAAACAGTAAATTGTTTTACTTACATAAAGTGAATCTTATACTTCTATTTATATAAGCAAAAAGGAAATTTTTAGTGAAAAACCTTATGATCAATATCTCATACTAATTTTTTTGATTTTCTTAATTTTAAACAATTAAAGAAATCCCGATTGGTTAGCTTCCATGTAACTTTTATTTTACAATCTCATATGGAGGTTTTGATTTTAAAAATAATTTTGTATGAGATTTTGAAACTCTCATAATATCCTTTCTTAAAAGTATTCTTTTGTAAAATATATAGATATATTGATAATATCAATGCCACTATTACTGCTCCTAAATACAAAAATTATGAGATAATTATGATAATTTTAAATTTGTATTTAAAACTTATAAATTATGAAAAAGATTATTATAATTTTAAATTTATATTGTGTCAAATTTAAATTTAAATTAATAAATTACTTTTCATATTTAGTAACAGTTTAAATATGAAATTGTGATTTTAAGCTAAACCATTTTTGGTCTTTTGACCTAACTGATTAAGCAAAACCATTTTTGGTTTGAATGATTTGCTGGTTTAATTGTGATTTTAACGGTTTTACATGTTACGATGATTCTTTCTTATTCATTAAGTTTATAAAATTTAATTGTTTCCCTTTTAAAAACCAATATGACAATTTTTTTAAAATTAATATATTTTTATTCTAAAATAATGAAATATTAGAACTATGTCATTTTTTTTATAACAAAACATAATTTTAATTATTAATTGCCAATACAATAATTTTAATTTATCAATATTATATTTTATAGTAAAGGAACATTTGAAACAAAACCCTTAAACTTATATATAAAATTTTATTGACAAGAGACAAAATATAAAAAAATTAAATATAATTATCATATTTTTAATAAATAATATTTTATTTTATCCCATACATAATACGGGTGACATGCTAATAGTCTTATAATAAAAAAGAAATAAACAATAACAAAATAATCTTATAATAAGTAAAAAATATTAATCATGCCTTTGAAGAAATAAACAATAACAAAATAATCTTATAATAAGTAAAAAATATTAATCATGCCTTTGGAGAAAAAGAATTCCTAACTTCTCTGTTGAAATGAATGTTTAGTTAATTAAAAATAGCAATAGATGAATAACTCATAAAAGTGATTAAAAACCCAAGACTTGGTTGAATTGATATTTGTTTTTTCTTTTTTAATATTGCAAGAAAATATAAGTCTCACCAAAAATGCTTTCTTGAAATATTGTTTCAAATAATTTAGGGCAAATTACATATACCTCCCTCAAGGTTTATCTAAATTACAGATATCCCCTAAAGTTTCGAAAATTATAACCCACCCACTGAGGTTTGTATTTTCATAACAATTTCGATTTATATTTCATAACAAATTACATCCTAATTTCTTATGCAAATATAGCATTTAGGGAAAAATTTATAATTTCTCAAACCTCAGGGGGTATTTGTAATTTAGCCAAATCTCGAGGGGTATATGTAATTTGCCCAATAATTTTTATTGTAAAAAACATATGACCTTGTACCATAAAAATATTAAATTATTATTTTTTATTTTTAAATTAAAATTTAATTTTTATTTTTTATATTGACGTGGCCTTACATGCCGTGCACGAAGCTAATTCCATATGCCGATCAATAAACACATTTGAATAAAATAATTAGGAAGGGGCCATTAAGAGACAAAAATGTCACACCCATTATCCCAAAATTTCGTTGACATTTTACACTTAAACAAAACAACCAAGCCAACTCTCCCAACTTTCCACACCACATTATATAAATAATAATTAATTACAATGACAAACAGAGAGGAGAGTAATTTAAGAATAATTTAACAGCTACACTCTGTTTCATTTGGCAATTTCAAAAATTAATTTATAGGTTTACAATTTGTACCTTTTTTTAATGAATTTTTTAATATGTTAATCATTTTTTTTAACTTTTTAGATTCACTAAAAAAATATATAACTTGTGTAAAAATATTTCGAAAATTCATTGAATACAAAAAATATTTTAAAAAATAAAAATTTAGTATATTTTTGTATTTTGTTCTATTCAATATTTTTTTTTATAAAAATTATAAAAATTTTGTATTTTTTAAGCATATCTAAATTAATAAAATCTAAAAAATAAAAAAATTGATTAAAATGTGAAAAAAATTCATTAAAAAAATAAGAATTAAAAACTTAAGAAACTGTTTTTGAAAACGTTACACTAAACAAAGTATAATTTCCTAGAAATCTTAGTAAAAATATTAGAGATCAAGTATGATTAGTTGTAAAAAAAAAAAATAATACTTAACACAGATAATATTTGTACACATATTTTTTATAAGAGTTTTAATGACCTTGTTTGGTTTGTGCTTGCAGATATTATTTCAAAAATAATTTTCTAGAGTGTATTTAGAAAATTAAAAAATTTGTTTGGTTGTATATTTTGAAATTTTGGAGTTTGGAATGATTTGATATTTTTTAGTAATTGAATAGATGAGTGTGAGAAAAAAAATGATTGAAAATGAGAGAGCAGAAAAAAAAAGTGATTGATTGATGTGTAATAGAGAGAAAAGTGATTTTCATTTTTAAAAAAAAAAAAATTTTTTAACCAAACATATTTTTAGAATTTTTTCTCCAAAAATATGTTTTGAAAAGCAAATCAAACATGCCTAATATATTTTACACTCCTCGTAATTTAATTAGAGAGGTTGTTGGGTAAAAAAAAACTCCCAAATAGAAAATACTCCATTGCAATTTTAGTAGACAAGTTAGATTTATTTTTTAAAATCTGATAATGTAACAGTAAATATTTAATACAACTTTTTCCTTTTTTTTTTGTGTTATTTATCAATAGATAAAATAGTAATTAGAAATATGAGAAATATTTAGATTATTAAATTGACTATTAACCTACGAGAATTAAAAAATCAACAAAATCATAACAACCAATTACCCTAAGAGAAAAGAGTGAGACCCCACCACCTCCAGTAATTTTTGATTGATCTTTTTTTTTTTTTTGTGTGTGTTGGGGTCAACTCTCACTGGGGTCTGGAGTATCACTCTATAATAAGTCTAACATAACTATCAATAATCACATAAAATCTCCATTACAAGGAATTGGGAATGTGGGTTGTGCAGCAACAACTGTTGTGTAGTAAAATGGGTCAATTTTGGGACTCATTTCGATAATTCAAATCGTTCATATTTTAGAATACATCAAGTAGAATATTCTTACAAAAAATTAAGTTAATTGGATATCGTTTACCCATTCATCTACTCACATTTGTATTCATTTTAATAATTTAAATCACAATTATTTTTTTATTTTTGTAGATATAAATATGAGTTGATGAATAGGTAAACAATATCTGATTAATTTGATGTTTTGTAGATATATTTTACTTGATATATTCTAAAATAAGAAAGGTTCGAATTATTAAAATAGACCTATTTGCTACATAGCAGTTGCTGCTGCACAGCCTGTGCAACGACATTCCCAACTCCCCATTACAAAGGGTATCACCAATTCAAAAAAAAAAAATAAATAAATAAAAATAAAAAAAAACACACACCTCCTTATAAGGATTGAAGTCAAAATCTCACATTACAAAAAATATTACACAACCACTAAACTAAACATTCTAATTATTAATTGGTATCTGTTACACAGTTCAAAAAATAAATTTAAAAATTGAACCTACCATTTTCCATAAAATTAAGAAAATTGTTTGTGTAAGATGTATACCATGTATACTTGCATAAATTCTCATAAATATATATAAATTATCTCATAAAATTATGTAATTTTTACAAATATACATATTTTTTTGTAAGATAATGTAAAAACTTATTTAAATATGGAAATAGGGTCACCATTGTTTTAAAAGCACAGTTATGGCTGTGGTATTTCTATTTGAGGTGTATTATGACTTTATTTTTATGATCTAAATCGTTAATTTTGTAAGATTTGTTGAGTATTTCATGCCTATAAAAAATCATATTAATTGGATATCAACAATTATATGATCGATAATCAAAAAAATAAATAATAAGTTTTTCTTTTGAGAAATAGCATAAACAATATGCAATTCGATCATATAATTATTAATATCCGATTAATATGATTTTTGATAGGTATAAAGTACTCAACAAATCTTACAAAATGACGATTTGAATTTTAAAAATAAAGTCATAATATATCTCAAACGGAGAAACTTACACACTTAAAAATTATTCTGAAATTAATATCCTAAACCCCATGATTGTTTTAAAAACTCTGTCGATGACTTGTTGGCTGATTCGAAAAGGCAGTGGCAACCCCGTGATTCCTGAAGTCATTGGGTACATTTCCCTCAATATATTTATTATTTTAATTTTGATTTTCATTTTTATTCTCAAACAAACTAAAAATAAAAAAAAATAATGAACTCGTTTTTTCGTATCTCCTGCGTGGACTTTCTACAGAATTTCAGATCTTCCAAAACGAGAGAGCCTAGAAGATAGAGAAACTCGAGATAGAAGAAGAAGAAGCGGAGAGAGAGAGAGAGAGAGAGAGAGAGAGAGAGGTTTTCGTCTGCGACTCTACGAAAGCCCTAACGATGAACAACTTCAATTGGAGATTAGACTAAGCTTGAAAGTCATCAACATCAATGGCTGAAAACGAAGGATCTTTGCCAAGAGCTTCATCAGCTCCTCTCCGCCCTACGATCATGCTACCTCCTCGTAGTTCCATGGAAAATCTCTTCACTGCTGGTCCAGGTGCGAGCCCTGGTCCGATGACTCTCGTTTCCAACTTCTTCTCCGAGAACGATCCGGACTCCGACTGCCGCTCCTTCTCTCAACTCCTCGCCGGAGCCATGTCCTCTCCCGCGGCCGTTTCAGGCCACCGGCCGAGCTTTCCGCCGCCGCCGCTGGCTGAGGATTCGTCTTCCAAGGATAAGAACGGAGATTTCGATTTCCGGTTCAAACAGAACCGGCCGTCCGGTTTGATGATTGCTCAGGCTCCGATGTTCACGATACCTCCCGGTTTGAGTCCTGCGAGCTTGCTCGAGTCGCCGGGGTGGTTCTCGCCTGGTCAGGTATTCAAGCTTTGATTGATTTGTTTCGAGTAAAACAATGGATGAGTTTGTTAATTGTATGTATTTTTGTGCTTACATGTTGATTTGATGTGTTGAAGAGTTCAAAACACATCTAAATTTGTCATTTAATTTCGTTTTGTTCTATTCGGTACAGTCTATTGAGGAAACAAAGAGAGGAGATGTTGTCTAAATTGGTATTTATATGCTTATACATTGGTTTGATATGTAGCAGAGTTCAAATCACATAAAAATTTGTCATTTAGTTTCGTTTTGTTCTATTCTATACAATTTATCGAGGAAACATAGAGAGGAGATATGGTTTAAATAGGCATATGAAAAATGATATATATGACCGGTTTGACATGGTTTTGTGCGCTGCCTATGTGGATTCCTGTATTTGGTTCCTTGCTTGCAAGTAATAATTAAGTAAATAATGAAGATGAATAATATATTGTCAGTGAAAAACATGTAGTGATATAAAGAATTGCTCTTAATGAGTTCATTGCAAGAATGTTGTGTAATTTTACTCTTGACTTAAAAACTAAGGCCTCTTAATTAATCTTCTTTAGGAGCTTGATTAAACTAATGAAATGATTCAAAATTTGAGTTGATACTGTACAGTTGGGTCATGTTAAATGTTGAGGGAGTACTTCTGTAAGTTCTTGTGATTAGCACAACACAAAAGTTTCTTTATATTTTCCATTATGATAAATATTTTTGTTATCAGTCTGAGGGGTACATTAGATACAGACCAAACTTTTGGGGCTTTGGCGGATATTCTTAGATGCAACGTTGATCAGTTGTCTTCTTCCTACTTGGGGTTGCCTCTGGGATTCTCTTTTAAGGTGAAGTCGGTTTGGGGTGTGATGGTGGAAAGGTTTTAGAAGCACTTGGCAAGTTCAAGGAGAGAGTATTTATCTAGAGGAGCAATGTTGATTTTGGTTAAGAGCACTTTTTCCAACCTCCACATATATTATGTCTTTGTTCACCTTTCCTCCTTTGGTTGTGAAGACGTTGGAGAAAATGTAGTGTGATTTTCTTTGGGGGAGGAAAAGTAGAGGAGTTTAAGTACTGTTTGGTGGACTGGAATTCGGTGTGCTCTCCTGTAAGGGGAGGAGATTTGGGAATTCGCTGGCTTTCCATCTTCTATCAAGCCCTTTTTGATTAAGTGATTGTCAACATGTACTTGCGAAAAGAAGTATTGGAGGAATGAGTGCTTTGTAAATATGGGTAAGTTTGGGCGGGTTGAACGGCAAAGGATGTGAGTTTATGGTATTAGTTTGTGGAAAGTGATTATGAAGGGTTGGGTCTCCTTTGCTACTCATATTAAGTTTTCGGTGGGCAATGGGGTGCAAGTTAGGTGTTGAAGTCACAGATGGAGTGGGAAGCACATCTTGGAGGAGGCGTTCCCTAATATTGCCCGTATTGCTCTGGACAGAAAGCCCTCGATGAGTGATTATTTGTAAAGGGAGGATTTGCAAGCTTTCTAGGATATTGTCCTTCGCATGGAAGGGTTGCTGTAGTTTCTTGGGCATCTTTATTGGATGCATATTGGTTCAATGGTTGAAATCATCCATTAGGCAGTTTAGTGTGAAGCCTTTTTATGATTTTTTAACGTGGTGTAGGGGCTGTTGGCCTTTTTCATTTGGTGTGTAGCACGCGGGAAGATCTTTACTATTGATAATTTTATTAAGAGAAGGTTAGTCAATGTTAATTGGTGTTGTATGTGCACGCTTGACGTGGAATTCGTTAGCCACCTTCTTATTCATACTAAGGTGGCACAAGAGTTGTGGACATTGATACTTGGAATGTTTGGCATTGTTTGTGTGTTCCCCACGGAGGTGGTGGGGCTCATTTACTCATGGAAAGGAGCGTGGGTGGGAATAGGAGGAAGGCTAGGATTTACCAAAGAGTGGATTAAAGAGGGAGATAAAGATGCTTGAGTTGCAATGATGCTCATTTGATTAATTTAGTTTTTCCAAATTGCAACATCGTTTGAATGCTTATTCTCATAATTGTTTTTGTCGTATCCTATTTGATTCAATATTGCTTATTTTTATGTGGTTTGGACCTAATGCAAAATGTGTATTTAGGCCACAAACATGAAATTAACAAAAAAGCTCACATAATAAACAATACAAAGTGTATAAGATTGGATTGGGTAGGTTAGGGATTTCCAACTATTAAAAATTTTGAAAGTTAATTTTTTCTCCTTCACGTAGCTACTCCGTTCATGCTTTCACGCTGGTAAAATTTGTACAGCTCAATGATATCCATCTCTAGAGAACTTTAGTAACAGCATTCTCCATAGTGAAAGCATATCTATAATTATATAGTTTATCTGTTCGAACCCAGTCATTTGTCATGAATGTGTTGGTGTTCTTTGAGATAATTTTGTGAGTTTGAGTGCTTAGTGCTTCTTGTCTAAGACACTGTCAAATTGTTAAGATTAACTGATTTGTCTGAGGTATGTGTGCATACATGCAGAATGACCATTTAATGAACCACAGTTTTTAAACTTATTTTCCTCTTTGTATTTTATACAATTGATGGGAAATATAGAATCATGCCTGTTTTGTTATCTTAGCACATTATCATGGACTTCAGATTAACTGTGGATGTGGTTTTGCATAGAACCAATTGGAGAAGAAAGAGTCCATATTAATAACTGCAACTAATTGGAGTAAGGCTTGTTGAGTTTAGTTGTATCACATATTCTGGTTCTTGAGTTTGCTGTCTATTTGTCGGGCATGACACTCCAATATTATCATTTTGATAAGATGGTATGAGAACTTTTATCTTGATGGTCAATATTTTTCATTTATTTTTTTGTTTGAAAATAAAATCTTCTAGTCTATGGTTGGTCCTTTAATGCACCTTCATTCTAGAAAGAGGGAGACCATTATGGTTGAATCTTTCCAAATTGTGCAGATGATAATAGCATGTATAAAAAAAAAGAAAAGAAAAGAGAAGAAAAATAAAAAGGAAAAAGGAAAAAGGAAAAAAGAAAAATGAAAAACAATAAATAATATTTACTGTTTACAATTCAAAAGTTAAGACTGCCTTCAGCTGTTCATTATTGTGATTTGTGAGATGTGTAGGGCCCCTTTGGAATATCCCACCGACAGGCTCTGGCACAGGTTACAGCTCAGGCTGTACAAGCTCAATCCCAGACGCTTGCCCATGCTGAATTTCCATCTATATCAGCAGCTCCTGCTACATCATTGACACAATCTTCATCCTTTACTTCCAATGTGACATCGCAGCAGCAGATGCCTCCCTCTATGCCAGACCCTGGCATCACCAAGGAGTCATCTGATCGTTCTCATTCTGACCTTAGATCCCAACCTTCTTCCTTTATTGCTGATAAGCCTGCTGATGATGGTTTCAACTGGCGGAAATATGGGCAGAAGCAGGTGAAGGGCAGTGAATATCCTCGAAGTTATTACAAATGTACACATCTGAATTGTCCAGTCAAGAAGAAGGTTGAACGTGCTCTTGATGGACAAGTAACTGAGATTATATACAAGGGACAGCACAACCATCAGCCGCCTCAAAAGCGTGCAAAAGATACTGGAAATCCAAATAGTTACTTAAATCATCAGGGAAACTATGAATCGGCTGTGGAAGGTCAGACTGGGTTTTTGAACAAATCAAAAGAAGCTGCTAATTCATTGTCTTTGAAGGGTCAGGAATCTAGCCAAGCTACACAGGACCATCTGTCAGGATCAAGTGACAGTGAGGAAGTTGGTGATGCTGAAACTAGAGTCAATAGAAGGGATGAAGATGAACCTGAAGCAAAGAAAAGGTAAACTCTCTTTCTTAATTATTGAAGCCATTCATACTGGAATGATTTTCATTTACCAAGCTATCTTGATTGCTACAATTTTTTCTTTTTCCTTCATCTATATTTGATAGGAACACAGAGGTCAGGGTTTCAGAGCCAGCTTCATCAAATCGTGCGGTTACAGAACCAAGAATCATTGTACAGACCACCAGTGAAGTTGATCTTTTGGATGATGGCTACAGGTGGCGGAAGTATGGCCAGAAAGTTGTTAAAGGAAATCCTTATCCAAGGTAATACAGTTGGGCCTGTTTATTTATTGTAATGGAGAAATAGTGTGCTACGATATAATGTCAAAATGTTTCAGTACAGTTTTGCTCCTAGCATCATACAAGGTAATTCTAGGACATTTCCTGAAACCATTTGATAGAACTTGTACCCATTGAACTATAAGTCCATTGTTGTAGCTATTTTTGAAGCTCTAGTACTTACCGTATTAAAAAAAAAAAAATCATCAGTCAACCGCAGTCACAGTCCTTGGTTCTGTAGGCCGCAATGATTGACATAGTTTATTCATGTAAGAGTATTTTCAAGGGATACAATAGTACAAATAACTAGTACGTAACCAACTAAATTTTCCTTTCCTCATCTTATTCTAGGAAGTCAAGTTCATACATTTTTTGATAAGTAAAGATGTATGTGAAAGAACCACCAGAAGGCGGCAAACCTCTACACAAAATAAAGAAATAAAAAAGGCTCAACACAACCAAAAAAAGGCTCAACATGGATTATTTCTCAAAAAAGTATTTGACAGTAGATTGAGGCATCCCAATAGCAACAATGATTATGTAATCACTAAATTTACATCTCCTCACCTTAGCTTAGATAATTAAATTGCATACATACAATTAACTCATTGGTGAAAGCAAAAGAAAGTAATATAGCAGTATCAGGCAACCTTTTCTTTGCAGCTCATCCTCATATTGGAAGGAATACACTATTATGTATGCTTAAGCATTACACCAAATAAATAGGCTCCTTTTAACCCCTCCCAACAAAAAAGATGGGTAGAGAACTAGAGCTCAAGAGCTTGGAACAATGGGAATGGAAGAGTGTCTAACATTTTGGCCCATTTGACTTGGTTCTTCACCCCAGGAATCAAATTATACCAAAGGGGAGTTTGAAGTTTATGAATTAGTACCTTGCTTGATACTTCACTCAGGCGAGCTGCTAGCACCTTGGGCAGTGCGAGGCTTATTGCCCTGTGGCTTCCTTCTTTAACTACATTTTGTGGTAGTGTAAATGGTTTTATTTACCTTATCTGCCATTGATAATAAATTTTATGGTATCCTTGACGCTCTTGTTAGATCAAGTTCTACTTGGCAGATTTAATGCTCTCTCTCTCTCTCTCTCATATTGATTATTCCCTTGTACAAAGTGTGCGCTCCTACAAGTCATTGTAGTATCTGACCCAAAGTTGCTATTTTTAGGTCCATGCTTTATTCGCACACTCCACTTCCAATGCTGCAGTTCTATGGCTTCTCTTCATTGAATACTAAATACTAATTAATTTGCTTTCAGAGGAAAAAGGGTTTTCCAATTTCCTTCCTGAACCTGTTATAACCCATCTTCTTTTGTATCAGCCTATGTTCCACAAAAGTTGCAGCTTCAGTCTTGGTGCTGATCTATGAAAGGCATCATGTTGATATTATGAATGTGTGATAATTTGTCAATGGTAGTTAACAACGTTCAATCATTTCTTCCAAATCAAATATCATAATACTTTATTTTGGTCATAAACTGAAATTTCCTCCTTTTTAGAACTCGCATGAACCCGTAATTACAGCTCCATCTAGTGGATACCGTGTGTTTTGTTCTTTGGTATTATTCTTGAATTGTCTTACTGCTATTTGCAGGAGTTATTACAAGTGCACAAGCCCAGGGTGTAATGTCCGTAAGCATGTTGAGAGAGCCGCAAGCGACCCTAAAGCTGTCATAACAACATATGAAGGCAAACATAATCATGACGTACCGGCAGCTAGAAACAGCAGCCACAACATGGCCAACAATAACGCGTCACAGTTAATGCCACCACACAATGCCGTATCTGACAAGCATAATACTTCAGCGAGAAAAACAGATTTTGGAAACAATGATTCACAGCCAATAGGACTTCTTCGGTTTAAAGAAGAATTGACATAGCTTCTTTGAAACTGTAAGTTTGTTTTCTTAGCTCTTTATTTATGCTTGTGGCTACAGTTTAGCCCACGATTATCTTCCCAAACTGCAAAAACACAAAGGACAGGATATAAAAAGAAAGAAGAGCGGGAAGATAGTTTAAAACCAAAAAGGATGTCGGTATGGACTAGCAAAGAATGAATTGAATAGGGACATTGTTGTGTGTAAACTAGTTTGAGAGGGGGATTGGGGGGGTGATATACAGTAATTGTAATGTTATTCTTCTGTGTAATTCTTTTGTTAAATGAGATTTTGGTGGTAATGCTTACTCTTGGATTTGGAAATGAGAATATGCATTTGTTTTTGCATTTTTGTTTTCTTTGTTTTGTTTTTGTATTTTTTTTTTTTTGGGGTAATATTCTGCTATGTTGGGCCTTTCAATTTCCTGTTTATATTTTCCTTGTTCTAATATTATCTGCTGTTGGAAAAAATATTGTGTGCTCCGGGGATAATATGCCCCACTAGTCTTAACCGATAAATATTTGTGAAGTGAGTTGTGTTTAAGCCGTAATTTCCATTATTGAAGTGAGTTGTGTTTCAATTTTTAAAATTTATTTATTATATTAACACTGCAGCTAATATATATATATGGTAATACTTGTTAATTTATATATCATTTTAGAAAAACATATTAATCCCTATCCAAAATACCTACTTATTGGCACCTTTGTGTTTACATTTTTCTAGGCGTGGATGACTCAATGGTTCGGATGAATGAAGACACAGTTTCTAATAATTTTGTATAGTTGGGTGATGGGGATTGTCTTCGGATCTGTTTGTTTTTGTGGATTTTATAGATGCTTGCGTGTTTTAGTTTTGAGTTTTGTTAAAAATCTCAGATGGTAATCGTTAGCATCATCTTGATGCTCGTTTGTTAATAATTTTTTTTTTATTCATCCAAAAAAGAAAAGAAAAAACCTACTTATTGGACCAATGAAACTTTCAATAGTTTCTCAAGTCCTCCATTAATCTGGCCTGTGGATGAGTTGTTTTCGTTTTAAGTGACGTAATGTTAGGGGTTTTAAGTAGTGAGAGTGTTGGGGTTCGGGTCTGAAAATTTTTAATCTGTCATTCGTCTGTAGGATAAGTAGATTGAAAAAAATTAATTTGTATCCGTTCGTCGAAATTGATGGATGCGGGTTGAGCGAATTGACGGATGGATACGAATAACGGTTTAAACTTTTACAAATTTTGAATATAATATAACTTGTCAATATTTTTTTTTAGATAACAATTTAACTCAACATACTCAAAAGATTATTAAGGAAATTGTCAAACACTAATAATAAATATATCAACAATGATAGAGACTCTTTTTTGTAAGACCTCTATAGACCTTAAAGTGATCCACACCATTCATGATATGGGCTCCACACATACATAAGTGGGCTCACACATGATGAGTGGTGTGGATGTGGATCACTTTGGGGGTTGTGAGATCCTTCAAAAAGGGGATCTCACTCATTTTTCTAAATATATATAAGAAAATTATGCATAATCAAAATTATTTCATTACTTTTTTTTATTCAAAAATTATTTAATTTGATTTTTTTTTAAATGATAAAATTAAGTCTTATTTTTCTATACAAAAATTTCAAATGTCAACCCTTACCATTTGATAAAAAGATTTTCAAATTAAAAACAAATTGAAAACATAATAGAATATCTAAACTTTTTTTTCAATTGAAAATACAAATAAAATATCTAAATAAATTAAAAATACAAAATCTTACAAATTATTAAGGGTGCTCGCGATTTGACTGTTCAGTTGCGGCCAAATGAATATCAAATCCCTCATCCGTCCAAAACTAGGAGGATTGAAAAAAAATCAATCCGTGACCGTCTGCTCGTCAATACGTATCCGTCTAAAGTGCGGCACATCGATTCGGTTTGATTGGTTTGGACGGATCAAAATATCCGCTGCTCATCCCTAATTTTAAGTCTCACCACTACGCGATAAAGTGCCCTCGTTTGGCATGTTAATTCTTGGAGTTACTAGGTTAAAATAGTTACAAAAAGACAAAATAAGTTAAAAAATCAATTAGGTAAAATGTCATATCAAAATTATAATCATTTTATTTTTTTTTCATAAAAGTCAAAAAAGTCAAAAAGTTCAATGCAAACAAAACCTTTTAACCCCAAACTAAAATAGTTAAAAAATTAAAAAATTAAAAATTCAACTCACTTCTTAAATGAAGCCAGTGCAATGCATTTCATAGGCTAAGCCAAAGATTAACAAATGTAGATCATTAAATTAAGGCAATAATAAAAACTTTAAATTTAAAAGGGGTAACTTTTCTTTTTACTCTCTTTTCCCCTTTTCATTTAAATAAAATTGAATCGTGGCTCAAATTTTACGAGGTTCCAAAAATTGATTGAACTGTTGTAACATTAAATGCATGACTCTCCAGTTCCTGATCCAAATATATCATCCTCTACTATTACAAATCTAGGTATCTGACCATGATTTTGAAAATCAATTTTGTTCAACCGCACGCAGCACATGACTTTCTCCGGCAGCTCCTCTGGCTTTTGTGCCTGTCAGTATAGTGAAATGATAAAAATAAAAAAAATAATAATAATAAAAAAAAAGCATTTAGTCCTAATTCCGAAAGATTAGAGGCATATCATTTTTTTACTAAACTTTTTATTCTTATGTAACTTGCGATATTTTCAGATTGGAAAAGTTTGAGATATAACCGTACCTGTATAGTTAAGCCCAAATCAAGTATTCCGTATTTTAACCTTTCTCGGAATGCATCAAGTCCTTTCCTGGATATGTAGCTAAACCGGTGTATATCAAGGTCAATCTCAAAGTAATTTGGTCCCTGAAGAAAAGAAAAGAAAAGAAAAAAGGATAATATTAATCTTGATGTAAAACACAGTAACACTCAAACTAATAAAATGTCTGTAGCCAAACAAGCAGCTTATGAGTTTCTATCCTTACTTGGTCCTTTTACGTCCACAAAAAACTTTGAATACTTCGCAAATATATAGAATGTCATATGAAAGTAAAAAGTGGAATATAACTTACACTATAGAAAGCGTGTTGAGGGCGTGAGAGCACGGGCTTTTCATTATAAGCTTGCAAAAGTTTTCTTTCAGCAGAACTCAAGTGGAGGTCCTCTGGATTAACCACCCCGGCCATGATTTTCAGCCTCTCTCTGAATGGAACTGTAGATTCTTTCGCAAACCCCTTCACCGTTTCCATCTCATCTTCAACCAGCCTCTGTCTCAAATCAAAGCAATGCAGTCAACTAAAACCTTATGCAAGATTGCAAGAAAGTAATAACTGTGTCGAATATTTTTCATCAAGTAGAAACTTAGCCAAATATATATATACTAGCACTCATTTAAAATATAAAAATAAAAAGTACATTATATGACCTAAGTAAACTGAGAGAATGAAAAGAACATGAGAATATTAATACCCCAACTGCCATTAAAACTAATAAAGGGCCAAATTGTAAGCGGGAATGTGCAAGTACCTTGATACTGTCTTGAAATTGAGGAGAAATCTCTTTGTTGAAGTTCTCGGATACTTTGAAATATAATACAAGGCTCATGCCCTCCCCGTCATTATCACCAAGGAACATGGTAGCAGGATAAGTAGGCACCTGTCAAGAGAACATCCGGATATAAAATTTCACAAGATGAGTCATTTCTAGTGTCATAGTTTCTCATACAAGTTGATAAAATTGCAGTTCATTTTGGATCACTACTACCCCCCTCATTGTGTTTGGAAAACATAACCACAGGTTCCACATTTTACAATCCATCTATTCTCTCAATCACTGTAAACCATAATGAGGAATGCATGCACAGTTTTGTTAAAAAGGATGACAAACAACTCATTAAGGTGCCCCATTTTTCTTATTACAATCACAACCCGCATCATAGAAGGAACCAAATGAGCTGTAAAATGGGGTATTTGAGGTAGATCTGACCCCTCCAATACTCCCAACCAATAAGAGTGAATGTGAGAAGTTATGACTAAGAAAAGGAAGAGATAAATGAAAACAAATACCTGTATATTAACAATCAGCAATGACGGGACTTTCTTGTGTGCTTTTAGACAGGGAAGCTCGAGGTGTTGAGCAATGTGATTGATCTTTTTTGGGCATACAAATAAATCAACACCAATTGGAGTATATGGGCTGTAATCTGGAGCAGAGTATTTCCGTTTATCTCTGCAGAATAGATTGTTAGAAGTATATACCACAGAAACCTCATTTACAAAGCTGACATATCAATTAATAAGCACAATGAACGGCAATGAATGCACAGAAAGTCTGGTGGCATGCCTGAAATAATTCAAACCCCGGAGCTTAAAGACTGAAGGTGCAAGAGGACACCAACATCCCTGAGTCGGCTTATCCCCCACTGAACAAGGAATGAGAAGTCCCGCTCTAGGACGTAACAAGAATCTTCTAGACGGACCTGCTATAATGCTCATTTGAATTATACAAAATTACTGTTAAACTTCCTTTCTCAAACTAAGAATAAAGGTCAGTGGTATTTTAGTACCATGAAAGTTCCCGATTAAAAGTCAAATTCAAGAAAGAGTTACTATGTAACAAGATGTATTTAAAACAACCTAAGGTACATTGTAGATTTTAGGAAAGAAATGCAAACGAGAAAGGCCATTCAACATACACAAGCTAGTTTTGGTTATCAATTAGAGGAAAACATAATCTAGAATCGGTTACTAATTAAAAATTAAAATTAGATAAAAATATTAACTTACCCCCATAAACACTTATGAAGTCATCGTCTGAATCAGACTCCAGGATACTGTGAGAGTCAAACCATGCTTCCTCTTGGCAAATTCCTGCAAAAAAAGAACTTCACTTGTCAACAAAGTACCTAATCAACAAAGTACCCTTATCCACAGCGTGTCTAACCATAAGAACTACCATTAAAAGGTATCCATACTAGAATTCTTTTTATCCAATTTGAATGAAACCCATATTCCAATTTCAAAACTTCTGACATCAGGTGATCAGTTGGTTAAAACTACCTAATTATGTTGAAAATCTGACTCCGATGAATTTGGATAAGAATTTTTTATTTGAATCAAGGACAGAAATATACCATTTGAATCAATTTGGCTGTGGTTCCATTGCAGCTGGGTGAGATGAAATGTCAAATTAGATACCTCAGATCTTCTACAAGTGGTCGTAGCACCCTTCTCAAAGTCCACACGGACAAACTCGCTAACAGCAAAATCTTCTAAAGAGTTTCCTGCATCACTAAGCCGTTCCATGGGCGCAATAGGGACGGCGGTTGAAATCTTTCTGCCACATCTGCGATACCTTTTTAAGTACTTCTTATGAGTTTTGATTTTTCTACTAGGCTTTGAAGCACAACCGCCCATGATGATGACTTGATTTTTAAAAAACCCGAGTGAGAATAAATGTCTTCTTCATATCAAATGGCACAAAGCATATGGAGAAGTAGAAGAAGACAATGGTATCGCCTTGCATTCCTCAAAACAAGAACCTATTGAAAGAATATCTGAAAATTTAAAACCAGAGAGACACTCATTCCTCTAAATTCTCTACTACAAACTAAACTGCGTAAAAGACTTGATAAGCAATAGCCAGATATAATGTAATTCGACTTAAAGGGAAGAGCGTAAGCTGCCTACTCTTTCGTGGGCGCTGCAAATTGGAACAAAAGATTCAATTTGTTCTCCTAACTGAATTCCACATATTTTAGACTGAGCAAAACCAGGAAATGAGGTAAAAAGCTATTATATATCCACCGTTCTACATTCACATCCGTGACATTCTTGAAAGCAAATACCAACATTCATAAAATTAACACATTTCTTATGCAATTTCATGCAATGAATACAAAGCATGTTCCCAAAAAAAGAAGAAAAAAGAAAAGAAAAGAAAAAACTCATGGGACCTCTCGTACACATTGTAATGGAATCAACAAACAGAGTATTCTATGGAAGTCTTGCCCTTTATGCATGGTTTCGGCACAAAATGAAAATACTGCTTTGTGAGGAATTCTCCCAAAGAAGGCAAAGTAAAACAAGGATAAGGAGAACAGTTCACACATGCCCTAAGGAAAGTAAAACAAACAAACAATAGCATCTCTAACAACCACTCCCAATTTTCCAATTCTAGTTATTGGACAGACATAGAGATTTTGACTCAAACAATTACCTCGAACATCAAATAAGACCACAATTTGCATCTCCATGTAGCTTCCAGTTAGTACAAAAAATCACTCTTCCAATAAGATGGTGAAAAAAAATGATTTTGCAAATTATTGATCACATGAAAGTATTTGCCAAATTGCCTGATTACAATTTGCCTTTACAGAGAACCTACAAAAAATTAAAGAATGTGTGACTGTGAATTAGTGACAACTTCAAGAACTTCTGTGATGCAGATCCAACAATGAGAAAATCTAGGTACAAGACAATTTTTTTAAAAATGATTAGAGACAGCTATTTTTTGACAAAAAAACAAGACAACTATCCACCCAAACCAAACGCAAAAATTAAAAAAAGAAAGAGTATGATGGCATATCAAGAAAACATATTGTCTTCTTTGGTGATGCCCAAAAAACAAGTGAATACAGTAATATGCGAAGAAAATGAACTCAAGAAAGTTTTTCAGTTGTTCCTGTCTAATAAGATAAAAGAAAAAAGTCAAGAAAAGAATCAGAATGGGCTTCAAACTAGTTGATAAAGTAAACAAGTAATGAGTCCTTATCAGAAGGCACATATGACACACTAATAATGGCACATAACTAAAACAGAACTGTGACAAACCAGAGGAAACTTCGATAATTAGTTGAGCAACATGATGAACAATATATTCGGAATACATATCATCACATATGAATTTGAAAAAAATAATAAATTAAAAAAAAATTAATTTCTAAACACTAAACTCTGCTGAAAAAAATGACAAAACCGACAAGTAAATTAAATTTTAAAAATTCCAAGTATGCGACGTAAATAATGAGTATGTCAACCACAATTGAGACATTATGCATGTAAAAGAAACAATAAACTTATGCATATAGTTAAATTTTACTGAATTAAGTTTCATATTATGCAATTATTTATGCTTTTTCAAGCTTTGTCACACAATTTTCATTTCAAAAAAAGCCTGTAATTAGTTTTCAAAACCAAAACATATTTTTCAATCTGCAAACCGTCCAAAAATTTAAATATAAAATTACAGACGTGCACAAAATAGCTATATATATATATATATATTTATATATCCGCGTGTGTTACAATTATTTCTACTAGAAGTCATGTCGTGCGCATAGGATCGTTTCCTTTCAGCCAAATAAGGTTGTGAAGAGTGATTGAATTCAAAATTTAAAAACTAGAACAGAATTTTTGAGTTTCCATGTTTGCCTTCAAAATTTGTGAAACTGAAGAACATTTAAAACATTTTGTGTTCATACTAAGTTCATTGCAGAATTTATTATACTTCATAATAATAATAGTATACATATATACAAATACAAGCATACATATATACAAACATGTATACATACATATATATATATATATATTAGTGTGAATTGAATTACAAGTAATGTACAAGGGAAATGGATGAAGAGAGAGAAAGAGAGAACCTTAGCACAGAGAGAGAGAGAGAGGGAGAGAGAGAAGTACTCACTCACTTTCTCACTTTGAGTCTCTGTGTGCAAGCAACCACCACAAATGGCGGTGAAATGGAGAGAGAGAGAAAGAGAGAGAAAGGAAAAAAATGTAGAGAGAGAAGAAGAAGAAAGGTTTCTTCCGTTGTAATCGGATCACGGAATTGAAAGTCCCGCCCCCTTTTAAGTCCTCGTTTGTAAACATTTTTGGATTAAAAAAAAGTATAAAAAAATAAAATAAGTCATATAAATTAATAAAATAAAATAATATATTTAAATTATAATCATTATATTTTTTTTCTTATAAAAGTTTAGAAAATCTAAACATAATAATTACATGAGATTAAAAAAATTAAATTAAAATTTTTTTAAGAATAAAAAAATTAATCACCGTAATCAATACTAAGCGTAAGGTCTCGTTTGGGAACAGGCTAATTTAGTAACTTTTTGGCTATTTGGCTAAAAAGGTAGGTAAAAAAAACTTGTATGTTTGGGATGACTTTTTGGCTAATTACGAAAAGATGTGCAAAAAGTAGAGAGAAAAGAGAATCTTTGACTTTTTTGTATAGGTTGTTGGCTTTTTGGCTAATTTAGTAACTTTTTGACTAATTGGCTAAAATAGCCTCTTGCCAAACGAGGCCTAAGCGAAACTTAAATGGTGGTGGTGCTGGTGTTTTTCTTCTTTGAATTGTTTTTGTTTATGTCTTTTTTTATTACTGAAATCCATGTACTTCGCTTTCCTTTCCTCCCACGTGTGCCTGTCACCCATTTTTATGAAGAAAAATGCTTGGTAACATTAATTAGTGCTCATACTAATTAGGTGGCGTGGCAGTGAGTTCCATCATTAATGATGTGATGTTTTGGTCTTAAAGTTGTATTTTTTTTTTTACTTTTTTAATGCATTAGTGCTTTTAGTGGTGATGTTTTTAATGTGATGAATCATTGTTGTTTTATGAATATGAAATTATTAATGCCAAGTACGAACTCATTCAATCAATCAAACAAACAAAAATAAAAATAAAATAATAATAACAAGATTCGTCCAGCTTGTCTAACTAAAGGTTAAAATTGGATCGCTTAGTTTGTATCGTAGGCTTATTTTTTAGCATTTTTTTAATAATTTAAATTGTTTATATTTTAAAATTCGTTTAGTACATTATTCAGGTTAAAAATTAAGTCGATTATATAACGGAAATTAACGTATTTGAATTAGTTTTATATGATTCATTTATTTTCTTACTATTCATATTTTTTTATACAAAAACTAATTCGAATACTTTAGTTGTCGTTATTCAATTGACTTAGGCATTGTTTGGAAAGATTAAATAAGTCCACACTTTTTATTTTTTTTGGCTCACATCAATCAATATTTCTCCTCTACTTTTTTACACATCTTTTTATAAAAAGTTAAGAAGTGCACTTATTTAGAACATCTCAAATAATCCCTTAATTTTTTTATATAAATGATATACTCGACGAATTTTAAAATATGAACAATTTAGATTATTGAAATAGAATCTAAAAATGAGCCCATGGTGCAGATTGATCGAGTCTAGCCTTGAACTCTACCTAAAGACAAGTTAGACCCTAAAAAAATCATATTTGCCCTCTTTCATTATTGTCAAAAGACTATTAGATAGTAAAAGAGATAAAATAATCTTGAGTACTAGAATAGTAACAAATTTTAAGTGTAAAAGGTAATATATATATATATATATATATATATATTTAAACTAATAATTAAATATAAGAGCTCCTTTTAAAATTTTGCCTAGGGTCTTTAAGAGTATAGGATCGATTTACATATGGTGGAATAAGTTAGAATTGAATTATATTAAGAATGAGAGGAAAGTAGAAGACAAGTCTAGTGGTACAAGAAAATATTAAGAGTAATATTCACTAAACATTTCTCAATCTATATCCTTCCCATAGACGACTTAGCCCTTGAGTTTGATTACTTTTCTTTGAATATCATGTTGCAATATGGGTTTTCACAATAATGAAAACTTCATTTACCATTTTTTGGGAATTTCTATAAAATTTTATGTTCTTTGATATGGTAAAATAAGAATAACGAGTCAATCATTTGCTTTAAATACAATATCATGAAATACCACTTGAATATTCATGAAGCAAAAACAAATTAATCATTTATCTTATCGAACAAAAATAATGATATTGTTCCTCTTATAATCAAGAAATTTAATTTTTGAAAAGTATATCATCTAATAAAAAGGCTTTCAATGCAATGTCCCTTATGTGGTTATTTTTGAAGTTCGACATCAAACCATGCCATTAAATTTAGAGTAGCCACATTATATGCTTCTAATTAATGAATGCCTTTTTGTTTCAATATTGGTTTCATTTTTGAGGATTTTTTTTCTTTCAAAGGTGTGATGTTAAAGGGTTTGTAAATTAGATTACTACTAATAGATAATAGATATTTGATGTTCCTCCATAAACATGAACCCTAAACGATACCAAAGGGTATAGCCACTTTGAGTTAAGCTCAAATTTCGTTTTTGGGGACTTGGAAAATAGTTTGATAATATTGGTTAACAAAAACACAATAAATTTAAATTTGGTATCATTTAACATAATTGAGTGAATAAGGTACTCTCTTATAAAAAATGACGCTTGAGTTTAAACCTTACCTACTACACGATGCAATTTTCCATTATCCTAATTCCCTTTTATCATATTGTAAAATTTAGAACAAAGTTAAGCAATATTGACAAGAATTTAAGTGAAGTGTAAAATGCATGGTTGGCCGTAGAATAAGACCCTAATTGGTTCCTAACCCTATTTCCTTCCAAATTTTATAATGGATTCAAGGGTGTTTTTATCCAAGATTTGATGAAAATTGGCCCAAAACGACATTACAAACATTTAAATACCAATTAAATAAGTTAAAATGATACAATTAAAATATCAAGAACTAGAATGAAATATAGAACATATTTTTGGAATCTAACAATGTGATTTTCGTTTCATTTGGACCTTTGAATTTGTGGTTGAATTTTTGCCAAATTGATCATTGACTGATTTACACATATAGCTGATCCCATCTGAATGCATATGTGGTCTATTTACATCACTGTATATCCATTATATTACCTTCTATTCTATTATTAAAAGCACATATCACAGAAAATGAAAGTTTCATCACATTTTTTCATTTTTTAAAAATGCTCCTCAAATTTACCACGGGGTGTGGCCCAATGGATTACGCATCTCCCATTCACCCAGTAGAGTAGGGGTCGATTCTTGTGAGTGCCAATTTGCTTTGACTCATCGCGTTGTATTTTAATTGACACTTTGCCTTCTGTGTAACGGGTGGGTGAGATCTATTTGTGTGCCCCAATGGTGGGTTTCTTCTTATAAGTTGAATTAAATCTGACTGTCAACTGGTTATCCTAGGGCCCCGGTCTATGGATGCTACGATACCCTCAGAATATCCTCTCTTTTTTTATTGATAAAAAAAAAAAATGATTATAAATTTTACATCAATTAACTGCTTCAAATTATTTTAAAACTATCTTAAACCGTTTTCAAATTCCATTAATTTTCTTCTTTATTTACCTTCATCACTAGTATATATATACCAAAAGATTATCCATACATTGACGCATATGTAAAAATGAAATATAATTGTAACCCTCCTTAGATAATTTTTTTTAAAAAAAAATGAATGTAGATATAAATGGAAGAGGGAAAAAAAATTGAATGTATATACATATGACTTTTGATTCAGTGTGTGTGAAGTCTACTTGTTTATTATAGGTTAGGTGCAGAGATTGACATTCCCAAGTTTCCCAAATTATGAAATGAAGCAACTAATTAAGTTGAATTTCTATACATCAGCATGGCTTCTATTGACCAAAAAAAAAAAATCAACATGGCTGCAAATGCAAACATGTGATTGCATGAAAATCGTGCTTTTTTTTTTTTAATTATTTTTTTTCTCAATTATGGCCGTTATGTGTTAGTGAGATGTTATTGTCATTCCCATTGATCAATCTAGAAAATCATCATTTTCTATATCAAATAAAAAAAAATTATTTACAAACATAATTTCTATACATAAAAGTGTATTCAAAATGATGTGATAATGTTATGCTTGTAATTATAAGATATGATAGTGATTATTTTGAATAGAAATGAAAAGATCACAAATAGCTATGTCAGCCTGTATGAAATTTTTGTATAAAAATTTTGTCTGTATAGTATAATCCATAAAATAAAAGCTATTTGGCGTTTTATTTAATTTTTTTGGTGTGATTTTCTTGCCCTTTCGATTTTTTAGGAATTTAAAAAATTATTATGTTTGAAAAATTAATAAAAACAAAACTTTTTAAAGTAAAAAAATTGATGTGACATCTAATTTTTTCAAGTTGATAACAAAACAATTTAATGATTTTTAATTGTTTTAATAAAAAATTGACCTTTTTTTGGTTTTTTTGACAACCGGCCCCCAAGTATGACAAAAATTAAAGGGTTAAATTATATTTTGTACCCACAACATTTTACAATTTTTGTTAGCAAATTTAGGAAAAAGGTTAAGACTCCTTTTTTTTTTTTTTTTGACCCCCACCACTTTCAATATATTGGGATTGGCCAACTTTTCGCTTTTTGTCTTATTTTGTTTTTTTTTTTTCTCTTATTACTCACTAACATGTGTCTGTAGGAGATTGTGAGGTCAAGAAAAAAGGAGAACTCTATCATTTCTAGAAAATTTAATACAAAATTAACGGAATAACCATAATTGAAAATGAGAGATCAAATGCAGTGTAAAGTACAACAGTTTAAAGTTTAATAATTTATCAAAAATTAAATAAATTATTTAAAAAAATTTCCAACACTAACTAAAGCTAAGTCTTGAAAGTTTCACCAAGGCCCATGCAACAAACTGTTATGTGTATTTGGGTGAAATTTGCTCTCTAAAACACCTCACTACAATTATGGAATTTTTTTTTTTTGGAAATTATCGTTTTCATAGATTTATTTTGGGTCATCTTTGAATTCAAATTTGAGTGCAGCCCATACGTCTTTTGTGGAGGTCTAAAGAGGTGACGTGTTCCTTACTGCGTGACAAGTCACAGAGTGAAAACGGTTAGTCAAAGCCATTTATAAGTAAAAGAGAAGTTGATGTCGTTTTCAGATT